TTTAGAGTTTGTAGCCCAAACGGTTGAACAGATCTGGATATAATTTGGTATACGTGTAAAGTATAGCCTGGAGGAACACATAGGCCACTTTCTCCTGTTTTTCTTATTTCCACGAGGACGAAGTCGCGGGCGAAAGCTAGTATTAAAATAAATACGATTTCTTAATTTATCAGATGAAACATATTTTATTTGTGTTATTATGTTCAATGTTAATCAATTTCATTACTCAATTAAATTATTGAACTACATTTAACATAGTAGTTGTAGGGACGTGTCTTTTTAATTAAGACATCAAATTAAAATTGCCAACCCTAGTGGCAACTTAAAATATACTCACGCAACATTAGTCAATTAAATTGGCGTCGATGCTTGTAAGGTACACGTGGTTAGTATCGAGATAGCATTATTTACAAGGTCTAGGGCTGCACGACGCAAAGGTCACATCGGTTGTTAATACCTTTTCAAATGTTGGCTTACAACGTGATTCAGTGTAAGGAGTGGCCAAGCTCTCGTGAATGTCATTTACTTTGTAGTTTTGTCACGTTCTGTTCAATTCATTTCGGTTCTGTTTTGATAAAATACGGAATTCACCTTTTGGTTTTGTAATGAACACGAAGTTCTAGTAACGAAATGTAAAACGTTAAGTCTGGCTTAAGTTACAGTCGATCGAATAGTCATTTGTTTAAGTAGTTATTTTGTTACGTTTTCAACGAAATTTTTTGATATCTAGTCTACGTATTCCAACGATCAACTCAGTGATCAAACTCGATCCATTCTTACTAAAGACTAGGTGTTGCTCGCGACTTCGTCCTCGAGAAATTAAAAAATAATATAGCCTATGTTACTCACGGATAAATGAAAAAGAAATAAAGTGAAAGAGTTTTTAAAACCGGCCCAGTAGATTTTGATTTACTTCAATACATACAAATATCAAATCTTTCCTCTTTATATTAGTATAGATAGGATTTTTGAGTCATTTACCACAATATTAATATCTTTCTCTAAATACAATAAGCTTAGTATATTAGAGGTAAGCGCACGGTCTTTCGTGATATGCCCTTAAACACATCGTTAGTAAATTCCCCAACATGGCTTCCCTCGCTACGGCCAATAGTAAGTTAGCATTCCATCTTCGTAGAACTCGAACAGTTGCCATATATATTATAACACTAATTGTGTAAAATATGATTAATTCAAAATGTTACTAAAACGGACATTGAATTCTCTTTGTCAATAAAGCCCTTAAGCAAAACTTTAAATGATTTATAATATTTTTTAAAGATATTAACACACTATGCGTATAAGTTTCTATAATAATCTGTTAGCTAACATGTAGTGTTAAAATAGCGTCTTATACATTACAAAAGCAACTTCAGTTTGGAGAGCCACCCCACTAACGTCAAAGTTCTGTCGACCCCCGCTCTATTATAAGAGGCCTATATACCGTCTATGCCTACAGCAGACACTATACAACCGCTACACCACCGTAGATACAGTTCAAGCCACGCTGGTGTGAGTGAACACGATGAAAATCTTTATTTTCACGCTATATCTCTCTTTATCTAATCGCCCCGGTCAGATAAAGACAGAGCGCCGGAAAAACTGGCGCGGAGCGGGGGGTAAAGGCTACATCGATTCCGCGCTTTCACTGCTAGGGGCCGTGTAAACCTTTGAAAGCGGCACTCCGGTCGGTGGATTGTCATCTCTAATACCATTGGACAAGAAGTAAATTTCCGTGCACAGAGATCACTGGTAAATGGATTGCCTCCCTCTTGGGGGTTCTCATAGTGGGATCTAGATGGCGTAGATATGCTGATACGCGAGCTTGTGTGTGTGAATGCACTACGTTAGTGTGCGAGGGTGAATAGGTGTATTCCGACAACGAAGTTGTAGCGGTATGCAGTATAGAGGGACGCTTCCTATGGGTTAAAATTTGCTTGTGTTTGCAAATATTTGAGGGGTTGTAGGTAACCATCCCTTTTTGTAATATAATTTTATGTTTGAGTGTAGATAGGTGGATAGATTAGGGAAGACGGAGGCTGTGATTTGATTTGATTAGGAGGTGTTTGCGTTAGGGTCGGGAGAGATAAGGCTGATTGGATCGCAGGAGGCCGCCGCCGGGAGGGCTCTTTATGGAAATATGTTTTTAATGCGGCCGGCTCATTGAATTAGTCGACTTCGTGTCACTTCAAGTGAGATTAATCCCTGAAAGTTAGCTTGCGATTATAAACAGGGTGCGTGTTTAATGAACACGGTAAATCGATTTAAGTTAATTTTGAAACATACTGTATATTCCAAATACACAAATATTCTCGTAATATGCACACAAATATTGTACATTGCTATATTTATTGGGTAGATAAAGAAATGTACAATGTAAGTAGCATTACTGCACCATTTCTTATTTTAAGTCATCCCAACATTTGCGTATTCGATTGTCTGGTATTTGTTGTATTGTCAAACGTGTATATCCATTATCAATGGATTTAGAAAACTTTGGAAGCGAATTACAGAAGAAAGGCCGTAAGCTGTCCACTTCTACGGGCAGCCGTATTATGCCCCATTATAATCGCTAAACTCCGTCCAATCTCACAACAAAGGGGTCGTTTTTGTTCCTGTCAAAACACAAAAGGCGGCTCTTGATGTCACAGCGTTTGCTCTTTTGAGTTTACACTACACTGCAAATTAAAGTACTACGATAACAATATGTACTGGATTTTGTCTAGTTGTTTGTTTATTTGGGCCTTTTTATCTGCACCGGCATGTTCTGTTTGACATTCGCTATGAGAGCCGCCTGGAGGAACCGATATCGGCCCCGGAATGTCGTTGACAGTGAAATGGGTATCACAATTAATAAAACTCTTCGATCGGGGAGCGTTCGCGTGCTTCACATTCTTGATTTTTTAACGTGCCCTTAAAACGTCTGTAGCACTTGAGGAGTTGCAAACGCATTGTTAAAAGCAAGGCGTACTGGTTGCTTACAGTCAAAAATTACGATAAAAAATTGAATCCGTACCAAGGTACAACATATTATCGAGTGATTTTTGATTTTGTAAAAAACTTCTACATTTTTTTACATTGAATTATCAAAATGTGTTACTTTATCATGTAATCATTTTATAGGTATTTGAGTAAATCTCGACTTATCTTTAAAAGTAAGGCTTTCACGAAAACCTTGGCATCGTGTAACGAGCGACCCGAATAAAAAATAATTTCGCTCGTAAAATTTACGACTTTTTCCAGCCATTTCAGTGTTTGAAGAGCGAAAGTAATTCGGTCATAAAATTACGAGTAAACAGTCGTTTTTTTCATGGAAATAAAAGCGCCCCCACTGACGGTTGACTTCTGTAATCGGCTTAGCTCGGCCCCTCGCGTAGCTGGTCCCCCGGGAGCCGCGTGTGATGCAGCGCCCGTAAAAGCTTGATGAGAAAATCTTATCTACAGATTATAAATTGGTTTGGCGTAATTGACTCATAAAATTCGGACCTCGGTTTGCGTTTACATTCAGATTAATCTGCCCCGTATTCCTCGTATTGTTTTTACTATTTTGTAGAAGTAGATATGCAGCTAAGATCGGTATAATTCATGCATGTACAATAAAATAGATTTTTCTTTGGCAACAGTACAGTAATTTGAAGCCAAGTCCCGTGACAGTGTGAAGAAAAAGGCTTGTCCATCGCCAGGGCCGGGCTAATACGGCGAGCTCTAATCTCTTTCTGGCACAAAGGAGCTGCCATGACGCGGCGAATATTGACGCGAACCATTTAATATTTAGGTATTCCAATATGCACGTGTACAGTTCAGCACAATATACTTACGACGTATTAAAAAGTTTTTTATATTACCTGTACAACATTTTATATCATCTTTATATAAGCTGATGATTAGATTTGACGACTATAAAACTTTGTGAAAGAAGATTAGGCATGTGTGCATTTCTATACCAACATACAAATTGATCGATTTTGAAGTCTTAAATATGTATTATGTGCACAACAGTACATTGCCGGCGGCCAAGTTACATTAGACCTGACAATGCGGCGGTACAGTCACGACGATTTCCAATATTCATTCTAGTTACCGAGAATCGGTCACAAACAGTATCGAACAATTCACCTAATGTTCAAAACTCTGATACTATTCTCTCGATAAATGACATGACAAATTAATGGATTTATTATGAGCGGGATTGCGTGTTCTGTTTCTTTTTTCCCGCGTCGGGTTAGGACGAATGCATTTTTAATTGAGTGAGGCACTTTTGTGGACTGTATAAAACGGCCACCGCATGCCTGGGATGTTTTTTGTTTGATTGACGGGTAGTAATGGGCAGGTGCGTAAGAGGGGCCGACGATAGCTACTTCGCTTTTTCGCCCCGTTGCCCCGATGTTCGCTTTTTGTCTGTCGCATCGTTTTGCCGATTCAGTTTTGTTGTAACGTGATTGTTTTAACAAATGAAGAACACCATGTGCTTCTCGATTCTTGTAACTTTTGGTAATTAAGGAAGAAAGAAATGACAAAAACTGACCAATTAAGGATATTAAGAAAGCCTAGTCTTGCTATTGATACTTATTATTACTTAATTGTAGTCGTTACGGCACATCCAAATGTATAAAAAATTAAATTCTATGATCATTCGGGTCATTTTCAGCATTCATGATAGACTGAACCTACTAGTAGCGCCATCAAGTTCCAATATATTGCATTTATCATTTTGTTAAAGTTCTACAGAAATTTATTCTTTTCGTTTTTATAACTGGTTAACACTTATTTTATTGATAAAAAAAACACATTCACTATCACTAAGATATTGCTAATTTTACTGTTTCGAACAGCCATATTGTGAGTTCTGTGTTAAACGATAAAGTCTATGGCGTCATAAAGAGAAGACCCTAATACCTTATATAAAAATGAGATTAAATTGTATTGGTAGTCATATAAGTGTGTCTACGTAGGGCTTTATAATGCTTATTGTTTTTCTTAACACATAATTTCATTAACAGTCACTGCAGAGCGCGGCGCGGCGAGCGGGCACCTCATGTGCCAACTGCAAGACGACCACGACGACGCTGTGGCGACGCAACCAGAACGGCGAGCCAGTCTGCAACGCCTGTGGCCTCTACTACAAACTACATAACGTGAGTCATTTTTTTTTTATAAAAAAGGGACGCCCTAGACATCCGCAATACCAGAAGAACTATAGATGCGTTGCCGGCCTTTGAGGAAATGGTAGGCTTATTGAAAGACCTTAAGTCGTAAGGTTTGGAAACTTGCAGTCTCTTACAGCCAAAATATAAATCGATCTTAGATCGGATAAAATGCTTTGAGATCGAATATTGATTTTGGCCGTTGAACCCACTTGGATACCTCTTAGTATGTAATCTCGTAGGCACATTATCAGATTATGTGATAAAACAATTAGAAAATTAATTAGATTTATTTGTGAATAGTTAAGGGTTATATTAAGCCAATTAAGACTAATTTATTGTTAGTTATTTATCTCTTTGTGCCAAGATCTAAGAATTAAATATTGATTTATAAAATAAATTCTTTTATAATCTCATCTTTCCTCAAGGGACCAACTCCCTTATGATGAATCGGCAGATTCTCGGTGACAGATAGCATCGACCGCCGCGCCCCCTGATGCCAGTTAATGTGTCATAACACCCGGCGATTGTCCCCACTGAGTATGTTACCATTTAGCGACTTGCTTATTTGCAATAAAGCGACATAAATAAATTACACAAAACAGTTCAACTTTTAAAATGTTCTTGAACCAAAGTTTTGTTTGTTTTGTTAAAAGATTTGTTTTTTAAAATGAATTTGAAACAATAAATTGTTTGCATACAATTAAAAACGTTCTAAATGTTAAATGCATTTCTCACGGCACTCGCAACCCCGATACGTGAAAAAAATCCACAATACCCTTGTGCAATCGGCGAGCGATACATTCGCAAAAGAACAAATGTACGGGAGCACAATGACAAACAGTCCCTTCGATGGTCTCGACGTCTTTGAAATGTATACTTTATTGCCGTTGATATTTAAACAACAATGTTGTCGGTCTAATTATTCGGAAGCTACAATACGGAGGGTGTGCCCGCTACTTTAAAAGTTGACGGTATAATGGTACACAATACGGGAATGCAGCGGTAGCCTTCACCAAACTTGTACGTACCCGCCTTTTATACATATTTATATTGATCGTACTAAGTTACACAAATGTCGTCAGCCGCTTGTATTTAAGATGGGGACAGTTAAAAACATCTCAGATATTGATTGGATACTTAACAATGATAAGAAAAAAAAAATGTTAATATAATTAAAAATGTACCAAAACGTATAAAAAACAAAAGCACCAATTTATAATATCTTTGAGGTAAATAAAAATATTTGTTAACCTTAAATTCGCGTAATAATTTTCATCCTAGATCATTTTTATCCAATTTGAATAAAATTATAAAATAAAAATCGACTTCCACGGATTTAATTAATATATTCAATGCAAATCTTTCTAACAAATTACCTTAAAAGGAAACAAATGTATATCGTAAAAATTGCATTTTAGTGAAGCATAAAATTTTTATGTCTGCATACTTAAAATATAGTCTAAGTAGTATGTTACAAGGATTTCTAACTTGTGTAAACAGATTGTTATAATTCGGCGGGACTCAAAGCGGATACACCGTGATCGATTTCACGCAAAAAACGCAATTCATACAATAACGCACGAGCCCATTGTGATTCACCGACGTCAACCTTACTATACACGATAGAACCATCTTGATATTTCTGTACATATTTATTAATTTAAAGCCAGATTTTTAAGGTTGTAAAATAATATTACGGAAAAGTTTTAGAATATAGATCCGTTGTGTGAAAGTTGTGTTGTGTGAATCATTAAAAGCAGAGACACCTACTTTATGTTTTACAAAAAAAAGTTAAAAGTATCAAAACGTCTACGTCGTTGTATAGAGAAAAAACTCTCAAGTGTGTTTACTCACAATATACCTCTTGAAGGTATACTATTGTTTGTCCATGCACGCTTAAATTGCCTTCATAGAGTATACAACTTGAGCCGACAAGGATCTTGTTCTTTTGGTCCTTGTAGCCAATGCTTTTGTATTATTGTTTTTAATAAAAATATTTTATTGGTACTTTGTAATAGTTTGATTGATATGGGAACGTATTCGACGTCTTTGGTATGCGAACGGATTCAATAAAACCATTTAAAACAATGTAAAAAAACATTGTTTTGAGATTTGACTTCGTTTCTTTACATTTTAATTATGTACTGTTTTATTTACTTGATGGAAAGGATATCGAAGAGTAGCTTTATTATAATTTAGGCTGATGATTTCGATTCACAAAAATACTAATTATTATTTTAACAATCTACTTTGAAATATTTAAAATTTTCCTTAAATTTTAGAAGCAAATTTAAAATAATTTATTAATAATTTAATTTCTTAAAGGTTCTTTAAAACGTGTATAAATTTGATGAATTAATTAAAACTAGATAAAATCCTTTAAAAAATTAAATGAAATTATTAAATTTAAAAAGCGATGCCATTCCACTGTTTTATTTTCTATTTATACAAAACTTTGTCCAGAAATATGATAAATATGCATATAACGAGTGCTGTATTTAAGTCACACGGTATTAAAATTTCGTCCCACAATAAACAAGATAATAAACTATTATACTTAACAAAATGACAGAATATAAAATAAATACTTAGATAATCATTTTAACGATGTTAATTTTAGTCATCTGCGATTTTATAGATGAAATCAGATTAGGATTGTGTTTCATAGCCATCTTTGATTAGAAGCTTTTATTCAACAATAACCTTGAACATAATTAATTGATATTCTAAATCGGGGAAACCAAAAGTTCATAGTGATTGGGTTTTAAAAATTATTTTGATCCAATATAAACCGAATTTTATCCTCGAAATTAAGAAAACAGAAACAGGGTGTCCACAGTGAGTCAAAGCCAAAAATTCCCTTGAGATACTTTCAAGTAATGCAGAATTTATAGTTATTTGTTACTATTATCAAAGACTTCACTATCCAATTGCTCTTATCCCTTACTCCGGGTCGACATAGTACGTGCTGCTCTTCCATACATCTCTATCAGCCGTCATGTCTGAAACCACTCCTTTCTTAAGCATATCCTCTTTCACATCCATACTTTCTTCTGTATTCCTCTACCTTTGTAGCCATCCACATTCAATTTTCTTCTGGTTTATGTCTCCATCGTTTCGTCGTATAACTATTATCAATGACTTATGCTTATAAATTGTTCAGTAAAATTGCAGTTTTAACTTTATAACAGAGTTTAGTTCAGTTTGTATACAAATGGCGCTTGTTTAATCATAGAAAGGTTTTCGAATGATAAAGCAATTCTTCAACAATTAATAATCGCCCCGAGCGAAGCCGAGCCCAATTGCTATTGAATACTATCGAAAATAAATTATTTATTTGGCCATTTACAATAGGGTAATAGGATTACCGTAGGTGCGTGGGTTCGACTCCAGACCCGTACCTGCCGACCGCAGTTCCTTAACAAAAGCGGTTCGATGTGGCTTTTTATAAATTTGTTTATTTAATTTATCACGCTCGTTTATTTGGTACTTCCTTCGCGTTACCGCGATTAAGTTTTTGTGGTTTGTATTCGATTATATTTTTTTCCGGTTACCATCATTTATCATTCATCGATGAATCGGTTACTACTTTTTGCGACTATTTTAAATTCGATGTATTTTTTTCGTAACATATGTATCGTAGTGGTCCGATGGCAAAATTTTTAAATTTATAACACTCGACAAGTAATACATGTTACTTTTTACTAATGGATGGATGGATGTTTGTCAGTACGTATCTCCAGAACAACACAACGGATCTCTCTGATCTGAAATTTGGCATTTATTAATTACCATAGTCTGGAAGAACGCATACGCTAATAATTGTGTTTTTTTTTAAATTACGAGCAAGTAGTGTAACGGGCAACAGCTAGTAATTTATAACTCGTACCGTTATTTAATTGTAATAATTTTAATGCAATAGCATTAAGATGTGCAATTGCTTTCAAAATTTTCGAATTCCTTTTTTAAATTCAGTAGGCGTGAGAATTAGTTCAAAGACGTAACGCAATCATTTTTTAATAATTTGAATACCTGTCAACAATCAATCTGACCGGAAGCTCGTCCAAAAATATAGGAATTACTTAATACAAAATACTACTTATAAGCTAGTTACGTTATTGACTTTAGTTCCTGATAAAGCAAACCTTATGAATGTCGTTATAAAACTCTACATGATTCAATCGCGTTATACATCGTTTCGAAACTAGTCGGCGCTGTTAAGTGCCTTCCATACAAAAGTATTGGATTACCGGCTGCATTGAGCGTTAGAAAGAGAGCGGCCATAATAACAGTTCAAATGATACATTTCGAATACAATGGAGCGATCAATTCAATTTTTGAATTGAGAACGCTCTCCTAGTCTTCTTTTTTTTATTTCGTCTAAAGTGCTGTTTTGTTCAGCCAACATCCGACGGATTCTGACAGTCACTGTTTTTTCACCCGTTTTTCTTTCGCATCAGATTTTAATGTTCGGTTGTTGATAAAAATTTAAAACTTAAAAAAATGTTTTCAAATCAAAGGTGAGACAAAACTTACTAACAAAGAATCAGTTTGTATGAACCAACGAGGTCTTATATTAAAGGCAACTAAAGCAGTAATCAATGAAATTGGTTAATATTTTCGATTAGTTACGATTAAATAAAAATGTTTCAGTTAATTTTTTGCCGATACAAAAGATCTAAAAAGCACGTTTAATTTACTCATTACACTCCGTGTACTGGCACTGGCTGTTAGCCAAACGGCCGGCACGTTTGGCCGAATGTTATAATGACATCAATTTGAATATTCAACATTGAACAACGATCCAATTTACATAAGTTCGACCGTTGAATTTTGTGCCAATGTAAAATGTCCCCTACCTTACTAATTATTGCCCGTTATTATTATTTCCGGATCAAATTTTTAAACAAGCCTCCGCCAGCTTTTTAATTATAATTAAAAAGTTATGCAATGCGTTTACGTAATGTTTATTTACAATAATAAAATGT